TCAGTAGGAGTCCTCAACTTATGAGCAATGCAAGACAGTCCAATCCGAAGAATTGCTTGGCGTTGCTTGGCGTTGCTTGGAACCGTTGCTTGGAACCGTTGCTGGGTAGTGCTTGACGTTGTTTGGCCTTACTTAGGACCGTTGTTTTGCATTGCTTGAAATTGTTTGGCATTGCTTGTCATTGCTATGCGTTGCTTTTCATGGCGTGTCGTTTTTTGTCAATGCTTGGCATTGTTGTCCATTGGCTTGGTCTTGCCAGCCCTTACTTGGTATTGCTTGGAATCGCTGCTTGCCATTGCTTGAGGGTGTTTGGTATTGCTTGGAATCGCTCTTCGGCATTACTGAGCACTGGTCGGCATTACAGAGCACTGCATTGCTTTATATTACTTTGCACTGCCTGGCGTTGGCATGGTTTGGCATTGGCTTGGCATTAGCTTGGCGTTGTTTGTCATTGCTTAGCTGTTGCTTGGAATCGTTACTGAGCATTGCTTGGCATTGGTTTGGTGCTGATTGTTTCGAATTGCTCGGCGCTGCTCTGCGCTGCTTGGCATTGCATGGCATGGCTTGGCATTGCTTGGAATTAGTTGGCTTTGCTGGGCAGTGCTTGCCGTTGCTTGGTATTGCGTGGCATTGCTTGGCATTGCTTGGCGTTGGTTGGCAATTTTCTTGCATTGCGTGGCACCCTGGGGAAACCCTGGGTAACCCCGAGCAGCCCCAGGCAACGCCTCCGACGAAGGACCCCGCACCGGGTTCCTTTCACAGACAAGTAAGAGGGTCTCAGGCAAAGCCTAATTAGGGTGTGTGGTCCTCACCTAAGCGCCACGCACATGGCTGAACAGCGTCCAACAGTTACACGGATAGAGGGCGAGTCGTTTCCAACATGTTCTTATCGCTTGAGATTTCCGCATGCTGAATGGCCAGTGCTTCAGCCAGTGCGAAACAGTTTCATGAGCTGACGGCGGCCCGCTTGAGACTTCAAATGTCTTGACAAAGGGTAACACACATGCGCAATAAGTAGACACACGGAGGGTTGCTTCTTTCCAAGCCGATGTTGTTGCTACTTCTCTGACTTGTGTGACCATTCATCCAGGCACTCCTCACCTAGACGGATGTAGGGCGGCTCATTTTCAGAACGGGTCTCTCGCCTGAATGGCAGATCCATGGGGCTTTCGTCGTTCGCTCCAGCAGTGACGAGAAATCCATGCAAGGATTTTTGAGACGGCAGCTTTGGACGAAATCTATTGCAGCCTCGTGGATGCATCTTGGGCTTATCCACAGTGCTTCGCGGCACCACGTCCGGACAGGCTGGGTTTTCACGTAGGAGGCGATGTTATTTGTGCAGACTGACGAAGGACCGCATTCAGGCCGTCCTGGGCCAGGCGCACCGGGGCACGTTTAGACTTTACCTGGGCCTTCGGAGCTGTCTGGTGGCGTCCCCATGGGAGTATTGGGAGCGGCCCAGACGCCGAGGCACGTTCTCCGACGTTGGTGATACGTTGCGCTGCAGGTCCAACTAGTAAACAGAAGAAACGGGGTTTCACTATAGAGAAAAGACAGGAAAGTATAGTCAGTACGAGGAGGATGATGAGGAGGAGGAGGAACACGACGGGAAGTATGATAGTTCTGGGTAACCCGGATGCTGTAGGATATGTATACCGTTCTCGTGGGATTGCAGGGTTTTGTCAGGAGGAGGCGATGGCGGAGGATAGGTTGTGACGATGACGAGACCACGTAATCAGGACGGACATGGGGAAGAGAGATAGGGGAGCAGGATGATGAGGAGGAAAAGAGGGAGGAAGACGAGGAGGTGGGGGCTTCACGAACCCTTGAGGTTGTCAATGGCGGCTGTGGGCCTCTTGGAGGCAGATTCGTGGTTATCTAGCCACCGTATCCGGGTTGTGGGTCACAGGCCTCTTGGATGCATGTTGAGGTCTCGTAGAAAGCCTCTCGTGAGTTTCTTCGAGGCGGTTTGGGGCTGTTTGGGGGGCTTTGGGGTTCACTTTTGGGCCTCTTGGGGGTCTCTTGGGGCATCCTGGGGGCTTCTTGGGAGCCTGCTGGCGGTCTCCTCGTGGGGCGGCGAGCTTGAAATTTCGGTACGAGCTTCCCCTCTTGGGCCCCTTCTGCAGGTCCTCTTGGGCCGTCTTGGGCGCCTCTTGGGTCGTATCGGGGCCCTCTTGCGTCGTCTTGGGGTCCTTTGGGGGGCATTTTGGGCCGTCTTGACGTGATCTTGGGGGCCTCTTGGGCCGCCCTGCACGTTGTTGATACCAAAGAGGCGAGCATGCTAAAAAGTATGTCTTCCTACAGGATTGGGCCGGGGGTATTCTTGGAGCCCTGTTGGGGCGTATTGGGAACCTCCTGCGCAGTCTTGAGGCCATCCTGGGCCATCTTGCGGCCCTCTTGGGCCGTCCGGGGCCCTCAGGGATTGCCCTCGAGCCCTCTTGAGCCGCCTGGACTGAAGCTTGTGCCGCTGAGCCGCCTGGGGCCCCGGCTGGAAAAGCGC